GCCAATGAGAATTAAATAATTACATATGTCTCATCAACAACTGCTGTATAAAAGCCTATTCATGATCACTAGTATCTGCAGTTTCTTCTTCTTGGGCACTCTGATGGACTACATTTCCGAGCCTCCTCTGCACCTGGGTTTGACCATGTGACTGAGTTCTGCTCATAGAACTGGAGGGGACATGACACATCTGGCCTCTAGACCCTCCATGCCCTTGCCCCCCCTACCCTCCATGCCCCCACCAACCTGTGTTGCGAGGGAGAAATAAACTTTGCTTGTCGGAGCCATTAGCCTACCCTGACTAGTGCGCTGGTACATAATAAACTCTCAATTAAAGTTAGGGGCTCTCTGGCCTAACCTCTCTACATTTATGTTCTCATCTATAATATGGGGGTGATGTTAGGAACTTTCCCATAGGGTCGTGAGGATGTGAGGATGGGATGAAATGATATATAGTTTGCCTTAATGACTTAGCTCCTCTTTGATCACACGTATTTCATCAAAACACTGTATACTATAAACCAGGCCATAATTACCTTTTTCTTAAAACAAAATTATCCATAATAAAGCCTCTTGAAGGTTTTAAAAGGATAACATATGAATTTGCAGTATTTTAGGCCTGAAGCCATTGAAATGGTACCATTTAAATTCAGAATACTTCCTAAAATCCAGTTGATCTGGGTTTCAAAACCTGAGTATATAGAATAGGATGTTTCTAATTTTAAGATAGTCAATTTATTTTTGACTTTTTAAATTAGGAAATATTTTAATAAGGGGCACCTGGGTGGCTCAGTCACCTGAGCGTCCAACTCTTGGTCTCGGCTCAGGTCATGATCTCAGGGTCAGGAGATCGAGCCCTGCGTCCGGGTCTGTGCTCAGTGGGGAGTCTGCTTGAGATCCTTTCTCTCTCTCCTTCCTCTGCCCCTCTGCCCGGTTCTCATGCTTTGTCTCTCCCAACTAAATATATAAATCTTCAAAAAAAGGAAGAAAGAAAAAGAATACAAAAGAAAAGATGTAACAAGCACCTATATTCCCACAACTCAATATGGTCAAATCTTAATATTTTGCTATATTTGATTTGTGTTTTTTTTCCCTAAAGAAATAAAACTGGGGAAAAAATGATGTATCAAAAGCACTTAGCATAGTGCTTGGCATATGCAAAGCAGTCCATAATTGTCAGCAAGTTTCTTTAACTTTTTATTCTGAAATAATTTTACGTTTACAGTTATAAAGCTAATAGAGACCTTTCTTGTATACCCACCACCAGCTGCCTCTCACGTTAGCCTCTTACATAACCATGACATATTTATCAAAGAGATCAAAATTGGTGTCACACTATTAACTAAAACACAAACTTTGCAGATTTCACCAGTTTTTCTACTTATACCCTTCTGTTCCAGGATCTAATCCTAAATACGGTGTTGCATTTAGGTCAGCTAATTTTTAATCATTCGTTCAACACTCTGAGAACACAGCCGCCTTTCAGTCCGAGACGGGGTTCTGTGCAGCAGACAATGCCAGGGGCCCATGGACTATGTACTGTGACAATGATCACAGTTCTCCTCTTGGGGAGCTCTCCACATGTTGCACAAAGCACTTCCTATATTCCCCATGTAATCCTTACAACAATCCTGTATGTTGGCTATCATGACTCTCACGTTACAGATGAGGAAACTGGGTGAGAGATGCACTGAGGTCACACACTTCAGGTAAAGGGCAGAGGTAAGATTTGAACCCAGGTACTCTGGCTCCAAGGTCATTCTCTTAACAATACCCCACTTCTATCATGAGGCTGTTCTAGAGAAGAAGGGGGAGCAGATGCATCATCGCAGACTTCCCAGGACAAGCATGGCAGGCAGGAAATCTTCCCAATGGAGATGCCAGTCTCGAGCTCAACCTGTTTCCTCCGATGCTCTGGGGCATGTTTGGCCTTCCTACCACGTACCTCCTCAGGGTTTCCCTCCCTTTTCTCCCTGCAGCCTCAGATTCTGAGCCCAAACCTCAAAGCTCCAAGGTGACCTGCTGAAACTCAAGCCCCAGGGTGTGGCTCTGTCCTAGATTCTGGGCCCTCCCAGCCCAGCCAGCAGGGACAGGCTGCCCATACTCATAGACCCGGATGTTGATTTAGAGACTGACTGCTGGAACCACTAATTTGGGTCCCGCTGACGGTGCATGAGCAAGAAATAGCAACAAGGGCTGAGTTGTCAGGCATGGGGGCATCCACGGGAATTGGGGGTGGGCAGATGGGTCTGTTGAGCAGGGACTAGCTTTGTCTATTCTGGAGAATAGGCGCCACCAACCTGAGGATGACCTGAGAACAGTTTTCCATCCCTAGATTGGAGAGGGGCCCTGCCTGGTTGGGCACCGCAGCACCAGCCCTTCTGCAATCCTCCAGCTAGGATGTAATGTTTACCCTTTGGAAAAGGCTCAGAGAGCACCTCAGGTAGCTGACAACCAGCTGGGATTAGGACCAAGGGCTGTAGGGAGGGGAGCAGGAAGCTGGCTGGGCAGTACTGGCCTTTTGAGGCCAGAGCCCAGAGATCCTTCATCCCCGAGGCACATTCCATCCTCATTTTATCTTCTCTGAGCCTTGGGTTGTTCAATGATAAAACAGGGATGTTCATCCCTACGGATCAGACAAGCAGCATATGTTTGTGCAGTTTATGAATTGCAGAAGGAGGAATGGGGGCTAAACACAACCTGTGCTCAACTCACTCAGAGGGGCACCCCGACTCGGAGCTGCGTCTGCTTGGGAGAAAGGGACACCTTTTCCTCAACCAAGCCCAGCAATGATAAGCCTGAAAGGCCGATTTGCTCCAAGAAGGCACTTTTTTTAAAAAATTTAATTTAATTTATTTATTTGAGAGAGAGAGAGCACTAGAGAGCAAGAGTAAGCAGGAGCTGGTGGGGGGGGGGCAGAGGGAGAGGGCAAAGCAGGCTCCCCGCTCAGCAGGGAGCCCAATGCGGGACTTGATCCCAGGACCCTGGGATCATGACCTGAGCTGAAGGCAGACGCTTCACCGACTGAGCCACCCAGTCTCCTGGAGGCACCTTTTTTGGTTGGTGCAAAGGAAAAGCACCTGCCCTCTGGAAATAGACCCGATGGCAGAGGACAAGGACCCCTCTGCGCAGAAGGCAGAGCTGGCCCCAGACAGCGCTGGTGGGGAGTGAGGAGGAAGTGTCAAATGTGGCCAAAGAAGAATGAGATGTGCTGGGAGGAGGGTGTCGGGGTGCCCAAGGGGTGAGCATGCAGGTGGAGCTCGGGGAAGGGGAGGGGCCCTCTGGAGGCAGGCCCACTCCTGGGGCAAGCGATGATCCCCTACCCCTGGCGACCTCTATAGAGAAGGCCTTGTGGCTGTGGGGACAACATGTAGTTGTGGTCCACATGACCACAGAGCTCCACCTGAGGGCAGGATTATAGCCAGAGTGTGGGAGCCACGGGGACCTTGAGGCCATGGGTAGCCTGATCAGAGACAGCCACTTGAAAGAGAATGACGAGGCACCAGTAAATTATGATTCAGAGTGATGGGTAACATCACAAAAGGTGGATGGACATTTTGGCAGCCCGTGGATGAGCCCTTCTCTCAGGTTTAGAGGGTCCAGAAGAGCTAAACTGAGACTCATAGAGACCTCGGTGAGAATGGGTGAGGGTGGTGCATTCAGGTGGTACAATCTGAAGTATGTGCAAAGTACCAGAGGTAAGAGAACGTGGTGCATTCTGGAAACTGCAAGGGAATTTACTGTTTCTTAATTACATGGTGTGTATGGAACAGATTTACAGGAGATAAGGCTAGAGATACAGGAAGGTTCTCAGATAATGAAGCATCTTTATATTTTGTCAAGTTGTTTGTACTTAGGGGGTTGTAAGCAGAGTAGTGACGTGATCAGATTTCCATTTTAGTGAGATGTCTGTGTGGAGATTTGGATGGGCAAGGCTGGAGGCAGAGAGACTAATAGTGGGCTGCTAATGGTGATCCAGGGTCCAGGGGAGAGGTGAGGGTGCCTCGAACTTGAGTACTCACAACAAAGATGAAGCTAAGTGAGCAGATCTGAGTGGTACCGAGGCAGTAGAATCACAGGCTAATTGTCTAGAGGCAGGAGTCCAAGATAACACCCATCACTGACTTGAGCAATAATGACTGTCAGAACTCTTCCCTCAAATGAAGAAGGAAGAATTCAGCCGGTGGGGAGGGGCTGAGAAAAAGCGCAGCTGAGTATGAAATTCAAGTGCAATATTCAAATAGAGGTGGGCAATGGGATATGGAGGTTTGAAGCTCAGGGGAGAGAACTGGGCTGCCGTGGGGGCTCTAGGAGTCATCAGCCTGGAGATGTGAACTGAGGCTGTGGGGGTGATGGGACCCCCCCAGCAGGGTGGGAACTCTACAGGAGAGAAGAGGCAGTGGCCAGAACCCTGAGGAACCTGGGGGCTTTTTACATTGTTTTTTTAGGGCACAAATACAAAGAAACTCAGAATGAAATCTTTTGCTCCATCATATAACCATCCTTTGCCTGGGATTTCCGGGCTGTCTCCTCCCCAGACCCTATCCTCTCGGTTAATGCTTGTGTTTTCCAGATGCCTCTCGTTTGAGTCAGTCCTTTTGAAAGTACAGCGTAGATGAAAAGATTCAAGAGATGCTACTTGCACAGCAAGTTTTTGACGATCGCTTTTTGCTAGGGTGGGCATGGAAAGGATGCTGACGCGTTGAACATTGGTCTTGATTCCGACAACCTAGCTCTTGGGTGAAGGTATGAGGGAGGAGAAGATGAGGAAAGGGCCAGCTAGTTTCAGCACCTGTACCCTCAGTCCTCCCTTTTGCACCCGAGGCAGATACCACTGATTAATCCTCACCTGCCCTCTGTCTTCACGGAGACTTGACATGGACTCAGATTCTTTCTGTAGGCTGCCATCATGCTGACTCAGAGCTGGCAAGCCTCCTGGACCCTCGTGACCATCCTAGGAGTAAGACACCACCCCACAAACCACCAGAAGATCTCCTGCCTTTATTATGATGAACCTTTTATTATAGAGACAGACTGAACTCTCTTTTGTATAAAGAATCTCTGGATTGGGTCAGGGAAATCCCACCTGCTAAAGGTCACCACTCAATTCTCCCTGCTTCTGCCTCAGCTAAGCCCCCACTTGCTATTGATGCCTCAAGGTCATTGGAAACAGCAGAGGCTGCTGTTCCCAGGGCCAGGCTGGCTGGGCTGGGCCATGCTGGCCAGAGGGTCAGGGTTCCCGGCTGCTCACCAAGTCAGAGCCGCCCCGTCTCCCGCCCCAGTCGGTTGTCCAGAACCTGGAGCTGCTGGAGGAAGCCCGAGTTGGGGCAGATATCACGGTGGGCCTGCACCGTCTGGATGGCCTCCACTAGGGTCATGTTCTCGCAGATCATGAGGAAGGCCAGGACAACCGTAGCAGAGCGGCTCACCCCCATAGCACAGTGTACCAGCACACGGCCTGTGGGAAGACCCAACCTGGTGTCAGCCACCTGCCCTCACACTGACCATCCCACTGGGAATTGGAGATCCTTCTGGCCATCCTTCAGCCCACCCGTCACAGCACCCTGGCATACTGACAATGTTCTCACACTCAGATGGGGCAGCTGAGGCCCAGAGAGGGAAAGGGACTGGCTCGAGGTCACACAGCAAGTTAGTGCCCCAGCTAAGGTTAACAGCTGGGATTCCCTTCTCCAGGTCCAAGGTGCTTCCTCTGGCATCCTTTGCAACTCTGACAGGGTGAGAGGGGGTATAGGATTTCGGGAGTCCCCTGGATTTGTGGCAGATGACAGGGGGTGTCCACCTACCTCCCTTTCCCCCCAGTTCTGCCCCTTCCCCATCCCTGCCAGCCCTATGCCAAGGCCTCATCTTAGAAGGGCCTTCTCAGCCTTTGTTAGGTCCTGTACCTTCCGTCCAACACACTTCCTGGGGGATATGGTTACACTGACAACCACACCGGACCTTAACTATGTCTGATTGTTGGTCCCCCGAAGGGGACACTCACTAAATGGTAGTAGCTCATTGCTCCATGGGGTGGGAAGGTTGCTGAAGAGGTTTGTGACTCTGGACACCCCCCCAGCCCACCCGTGCTACTGCAAAAAGTGCCCCAGATCTCACCCCCCCACCCCCCACCCACAACCCTAGTGCCTTCCCCAGCAGCTCACCTTGGGGAACACTGAGGGCAGTTCGGATGTATCGAGCAACAGGTAGAAAGTAGACACTGAGGTCAAAGAAGGGGTTGTCATCAGCCTCAATGCCATAGTACTCCAAGGGCATTCCACGGTAAAACCTGGCACCTGTGTCCACTTGAAACTTGCCCGCAGCAACGTTCACGACGTGGGTGATGCCCAGCTGGGTCAGCTTGCTCTTGTCCCGGGCTGCATACCTGGAGGGAAGGCACGGGGAAGTTGAGAGGTGGAGCAGGTCTCGTTGGGGCTCCTCTGGCCGGGCTGGAACTTATCCCTTTCCCTCCTCTGCCGTCCCCCTCCAAGTGTGAGACTGGAAAGAGTGAACAGGCCTGAGTGAAGGGGCTCCTCTAGTTGGAGTTCAAGATTCCCTTTCACTCTAGCCAAGGGCAGTTTGGCCACATGCATCAAAAGCTTTAAAAATATACAAAATATATACATGTTTTGCTTCAGCAAGTCCCCTTCTAGGAACTTAAAAAAATCCAAAATGTGCCCACAGATGTATATAAAGTGGATCTAATGACATTTAAGATAGTGAAAAATTGGGAAAAATCACTAAATATCCTATAACAGGAGACTGATATGGTATAGCTAAATGAAATACTGTGCAACCCCCAAAATATTGTAGCTGCAGGTAAAGGAGGAAAGGTGTCTGTGCTAAATTGAGAACCTGTGAAAAATGCAGGATACAAAATAGAACCTTGTTTAAAAATGTTTTCAAAAGATGTTATGTGGTTCCATTTAAAAAAGCTTTCTACATAAAGTAGGTTGCAAAATGGGACTAGAAAGAGGTATCATTTTTGTAAAAAAAAGATGTGAAAAGGCCATTATGTACATATGTGTGTATGCATTTTTTTTAAAAGTCAACGAGGATTTTATTGCTGGTTATCTGGTGGGGGGATAGCATATTTGCCATATTATTAGCAAGACACTGAATCATATTTTCTAAATATTAAGGAAAATTTCTAAAATCCACATATATTGATCCATATGTTTCAAATTTTAGGAAAACTTTTGGGAAAATGACTCACAATTCCACTTTCTTTATAACTGCACACCTGAGAGAAACGTGTGTGTGTGTGTTTGTGTGTGTTCCCAGGACCCATGTACTAGACTGTTCCTAGGATCACTGTTCACAATAGCCAAAAAGTCAAAACAACTCAGATGTCCATATACAATCAAACGGATAAACTGCAGTATATTCACACAAATGAATAGTATACAGCAATGAAAAGTGAGTGAGTGGCAGCCGCATAGAACATGGGTGAATCTGACAATATTGAGCAAATAACGCCAGGCACAAAATGCACACAATAGGATTCCACTCATATAACTTTAAAAGACAAGCAAAACTAACTATATTGTTAGGTACATAGATGTTAAAACTATAAAGAAAAGCAAGGAGATAATTATTCCAACACTTAGGAATTATCTACAGGGGAAGGGGTTATGTTGAGAAGGGTCAGTTACTTCTGGGGCATAAGGAACGTCCTGTTTCTTGACGTGGATGGGGAAACCGTTCATATGTGCTGTATGCACTTTTCTTAATGTGTGTTCTGTTTCCACGGTTAAAATTAATAACATAAGAGGATAGGATTGTGTGGAAAGAGATGGTGGGAGGCCAAGAGGGTGCCGCCTCTGCCCCTGCAGGACTCTGGGAGAGGCTTGCCTTCTGTCCCCTTGTACTTACGCATCTCCTAGGAAGAGGTTGGGCCAGACCTCATTGACATGGCTCAGCATGGCAGCCCGACGGACCCACAGCAAGCGCTGGAGGTAGGCCAGTGTGGGCGGCTGGTAGGGGGACCCCCGGACTGCCCTGTGGATCTTGGGCCTCCGGAGATCCTGCTTCTGCAGCGAGTCCATCCTGAAACAGAATGGACACTATGGTGGTTGGGGGCAGGATCCCCACCAGTGGGTCCAGCTGATGGGGGGGTGGGGCAGGCAGGCATGGTGCAGTGCCCAGGGGCCACCAGGATGCAGCAGGATGGGCCTCAGCTATTTTGGATGAGATTATTAACCAGCTCAGCTAGGGCTGAGGCCTAGATCCTTTTCCCAGGGAACAAGGGAATCAATTCCTTGTCACTGCTGTGGAGCTGGGAAGGTCTCTCCTGCCCTTTCCAGATGTTAGAAGCTTTGGCCAAGCGGCCCTTGGAGTTCCCTGTCTGTAGCAACTAGTCAGTACAGACACCCTGCCTTCCTTAAGTCACTGGTACTTGGGACTTTGTAGGGATGGGGACCACAGAGTGCACCTAGGAAGGCCCCACAACCTGGCAGCTCATCTCAAGCCCCCTCCTCTGCTACTTCCAGGGCTGGTCCCCAGGTCCCTGGTCCCTCACAGTTTCGGGTGCTTGAAGGGCAGAGCCCATCTCAAGAATGAGGGGTCCTGGGCCATGAAATGGCATTTGAGAGCATCTCCATACAGAGTAAGCTGATGCCTCTTAAGGGCCTGAGGCCTCACTTGGGATAGGTCCCTATTTTACATAGGAGGAAGCTGAAGGTCAGACAGAATGTATATAGCGATGCCCAAAGCTGTGTGGCTGATAGGGAGCAAGGCTGGGGTTTCAATCCAGTTATGCCCCTTCAGTTCTGTCTCCAGGCCTTCCAGTTGCTACCTTGGAGACTCCGGAGAGTGGTCACTAACCCATCTGTCTCTACAGGGGAGACTGGTGCTGCTGTCACACATCTACCTCCAGGCCCTGGGATTTTCTTCCTTACCCCCACGACTCAGGCCAGTGCTGCAGGTCAGGCCTCACCCAGGTGGGGTGGCTTTTGTCAGGAGTCGGCTGTTTTGGGGTGTCTGAGCCCCTGCGGAGCTGGGATGTCAGTGGCACCAGAACCTGCGGCTGGTGTGGTGCTGGGAAGGAGTGCCTATCTTGGCTAATCGTTCCTGGCCCCTTCAACCAGTAACTAGGGAAGGTACAAACTGGGAAGAACATCTTTTCTCTTGGGTAGCCAGTGATAGGACCAGGAAGAGAAATGGGCACCCAGGAGGCCACTGGCTTGGCCAAGCTCACCCAGTGGGCAGCCGGTGGGCAGGGTGGAAGTGAAGACCCAGCTTTCCCCCTCATCCCCCACTGTGACCTCTCAGGGCAGGCTGAGTGGCCTGCCACCTACCTAGGGCATGGCCTGGGGCCAGGAATGGGGGAGTGGGTACAGGGACGGGACTCAGCACCTGAGCAGAACCTGGCCGGGGCGGGTTCCGCCCGGAACACAAATGCTGTGAAGTGGCTAGAATTCCAGGTCCTTCCCTTGGAGCCAGTGGGGGTGGGGTCTAAGAGCAGACCTAGCCCGCTGTGGTGTGAAGTGCAGTCCTTCCAAACCTCCAGACCCCGCTCTGCTTGGCATCTCTTTGGGAGAAAGGCTCTTGGCCGGGGATCTCCCCATGGACATGGGAGGCTACCTGAAGTGGTGGAAAGAGAACTTCGGAGGGAGGGAGGAGAGCGTGGCCATAGCTCATTCTGTGGCCTCCAGCAAGTCTTTGCTCCTGTCTGGGCCATGGCCTGTCTGTCTCGTGTGCGAGATCCTGGCCTTGCCTGAATTTAGGATTCCCTGGTGGGTCTGACCTGAGAACGAGAGCAGCGGCTGGGTTTGTGGTAACCACAGGATAGGGAGCAGCGTAGTGTGTTGGGGGTGGGGAAGGCCCCAGGCCCCAGGCTTACCCAACAGCCACACTGGTGTGGAGCCAAAAGCTGGGGCTGAGTGAGCCGCAGGTGGGCCTGACATGGAGCTCCGGGAAGGCCCACCCCAGCCTCTGAACTTGGCGTGGGGTATGGCCGCCACCCTGTGGCCAATGGGTGCATTGCAGCCCAGCTGTGCCGGGGAGCAGGCAGCCCGGCTCTGGCTGAGACAGAGCTGGTCCCAGGGGGCTCCCAGGAAGAGAAGGAAACAGCATAGGGGTCAGGAATTGGGGGCTGCTAGGCCACAGTTCATGTTTCAACCTCTGAGGGGCCTTAGATCCAAGTCTGGAGAATGGGACCTTTTCCTTGGACTTAGGGGCTACTCCTTGTCTGGTCCCACCTAGAGCCTCACACCTGATGCTTTATCCCCCTGGGATGCATGGATGTACCCCCACACCTGTCTGCTTTATCTCCCTGGGGTCCAGCCCCCTGCCCAAGGGCTCATCCTTCAAGCTCCAGACACACCCAAGGAAGGGAAGTCGGTGGGCGAAGCACGGGCCAACATTTTGTAGGGACGGCCCAGGCCTGGCTCTTCTCCTCATTCACTCCGGCCCTCATTCTGCCTCCTTCCTGTGTCTTCTCCCTAAGTCCAACAGCTGCCTCCGTAAGCAGTAGCTTCTCTGCTCTTGTGCTGTTTACAAGCTGAGGCGCTTGTTTTCTGTCTTTGTGTGCGTCCCTCCTCCTTTCCATGTGGCTCTCCCCAGCCTCTCATAGGAGCTCACGCTCCTCCACCGCGCTCGCCACACCACCCGGCATTGCCGTGGCCTCAGGCCCAGGCACAGGCCTCCTCAGGGCAAGGGGGCAGCTGCGGTCATCCACCTCCTCAGCTGAAGCTCCGGATGTTCCCGCTGGCCTTCCCTCCTACCCAGTCTCTCTGCTTTCCCCTCCTCCGCCGCCCCCCCCAAGCAGATGGGACTGTGGCCACAGGACAGCGGAGGCCAGGGGATCTCAGGGCAGGACGCAGGAGGAGTCTGGCGAAGGACGCCTTGGGGCAGGTAGCAGGTGGGCAGCCGATGGTGAGCTGCCAGTGGGGCTCAGCACTCAGCTTGCAGGCCCGTGAGGACAGATCTGGGCAGAGCTCTCAGGGCTGGTATTCGTGTGGTCTTTGCTGAGCCAGTTCCTTCATGGGGCTGCTGTGAGAATTTCATGAGGTACTAAATGTAAGGCCCCTTCCCTAGGGCCTTAGGATAGATGCCCCCCATAGGGTGCATCTTACTATTATCATTACTATTATTATTACTCTTATCCTTTCAAGCCTCAGCCATATCCTGGCTGGAGGGTAACCTCCCCACAGGGCAGTGAGGCTTAGTCTCCATCTCTTTGTGTTTCTTGAGGTTTCTTTCTCTGTCCAGCAATAATTATAATTCTATTTGCCACTTACTAAGGATGTACTATGTATCGACAGAGCTAAATGCTTACACTTTCTCATTGGATCCTCACAGTACCCTTATGAAGCAGATAATATTATCATCCCCATTTTACAGATGAGGAAACTGAGGCTCAGAGAGATTAAGCAATATGTTCAAGGTCACACAGCCGATTAACATGGGATCCAGGATTCAAGACCACATCTTTCTGACTCTGCTTTGTCTGTGTTTCTGTCTCTAATCCAGTCTGTCCTCCAACATAACCCAGTCCCTCCACAACACACACAGGCCCAGGTGCCCTGGCCCTCATGACCCAGCATGCTCCATGGCCCCCCTGAAATAGGGGCCCTCACCCACCTGTGGGGGTATCTGGCCCAGGCTGTGGTCTTCTCTGACGGGCACTTTGTGCTGTCTGCTTCCAGCTCCCTGTCTCCGCACACTTGATGCTGTTTCTATTTTTTGATTTGAGTTTAATTATAAAGCATGATGTGCTGCTCCCCTCTTTTCGCCTCCCCCTGACACTCCCAACTCACCCACTGGTCCCTGGCATGGTCAGTGCCAAGCCCAGCCAGGCACCTGGCCTTGCCGGGGGTGGAGGCAGCCCGCAGGGGTCTGCTTGTGCTCTGGGTGTATGCGTATGTTGATTGTGGGGCAGAGAGAAGGAATATCCGAGAAGCCATTTTCAAAGCTCCCTTGACCTTGAAGGGTGGTGTGAAGCATGGGCAGAAGGTTAGAGCTGGAAGACTCTTCCATGGAGGAGGGCAGAAAAGAGACTAGTCCAAATCACACACAAACTGGCAGCAAGGCCGACAACAGAACCCAGGTCCCCAGGAGCTTGGCTAGGAGCTGAGATTTATAGGACTAGCCCAGGATTCAGATCTAGAAGACTAAGGCTGAGGAAAGTGGGGGTACACTTACAAAGGTGTAGGTGAGGTTCAGAGCAGGCCTTTAGAACTGCCCTGGCCTGCAGTCAGAAGCTGTGTGTCTAGAAGCCACTGTGCCCTCTGCCAGGCTCCTCCCTCCCCCAGAAGGCCTTCCTAACCCAGGCCAACCAGATGGTCTTTTAGGTCCCTCCCAAAGCCACTGGAGCCAGTTAGGGACGTTGGATTTGGCCCTGTTAAGAACCCTTCCTGCTTCCTGTCAAGAACCTCTTCCCAGAGACCCTCCCCATATACTCATATACTTCAGTATACTCTTCCCCACCCACACTCCCAGATGACCGACACAGAGACATCTGCATACCTGCAGCCACACCTACACGGGGTCTCTGAAGTCTGAACTTCAGGGAGCTAGGGCTCAGCCCCTGCTGGGGTTCCCTGAGCCCTGGGGAGAGCTGGTGGACGCAGCTGTAGCCAACGGCTATCACGAACACTTAGAATTCCCTCCCGCTCTCCTCCCATCCTTGCACCCCAGGGAACTTGAAGTCCGGGCTGAGGAGCCTCAGGGATTGGATGAGAAGGCAGCCCGTTCCCACCTGTGGGGACTGAAGACAGTAGCCGACCCAGAGTGCAGGCAGCAGGAGGAAGTAGATGGGGTAGCAGGCTCTAGGGCGGACCACACACTGGCTTCTTACCATCTTCTTGGTATCCACCTGGGCCAGAGCCTCCAGCAGCACCAACAGGACCAGTGCCAGGGAAACAAAGTGGCACAGCCCCGTGGCAGGGAGGAAGGACCAGCTCTGGGGGAGAGACGAGCTCCATGTTATAGGCTGGCAACCCAAGGCCCAGACTGGCTGGGACTTGTCAGGGTAGGGGCAGGAACTGCCACCTAAACCTGCCTCTGCCTTGAGCCCTCTGTGTAAGGTCAGGTGGGTATGGGTGCTCAGAGAGATAAGGCAGGTTTGGGGCCCAGGGCTCAGGGAGAGAAATGACCTCGCCCCATCATCTTTCAGAGTCCCTAGGGCTGCTGTGTATGGCCACATAGGTTGCACACTGCATAACTCCTGGGGGCTCCAGTTGCATTGGTGGATGGCACCTCCAGGACCTGTGCAATGCTGCGGCCCAACTGATTTCCCCAAAGCCAGCTGCCTGATGGGAAAGATGCTGAGGCCAGAGGTCAGGGTATTTAAGGGCTCCAGGCCAAGGAAGTGGGGCAATTGGGCATAATCAGAGATTTGCTGTTCTACCAGTTTCCTGAAACATGTTTAGAGGAGAGCAGGATGGGAACATGCCATTCCTGTCTCCCTCTTGGCTCCCCATACCCGCAGAGCTCCCCACAACAGTTTCCCACCCAGCTCAGCCCTGGGCCTGATCCCCAAACCAGCTATAACCCTGATTTTCTTCCATTATGCTCACCCCCAAACTCTAAATCTAGCTCTCCGTCCTGCCCTAATCCCCACCCCCAAGATGCCCCCCCCTCCTGCCAGCATCAAGAAGGGGGCAGGGTACTAAAGTGCTCCCCCTTGGTGGCTCTGGTTATGCATTCAGAGACAAAAACAGCTTTTGGTGGAGGGCTGGGCAAGGGAAAAATTCAATCCACACCCTGGGAAGCTCTTGGCAGGGGAAAGCTGCCACTTTTCCAACTCCTAAGAGAGCCTAGGCCAGTCACCCACCCCTAGCCGGCAGACCCTCTGAGCCAGGGGGTGCTGGGGCACACAGCCCAAGTCAGGGCTGAGGAGAGATGAGGGAAGGAGCAGCATGGGTAGGAGTTAGAGGTGGGCTAGGGCCAGTGGAAAGCAGCCCTGGGGCTTAACTCCCCAGCCGATGGCCCTCAGGGGGGATGTGAATGTGAGGAAGGTGGGCTGTTGGAGACAGACAGGAACAGATCCAGCTGGGGAGTGGTGGGAGAAGAACGGCCGTGGACACTGCCGCTCCTCACAATGATGGAGCCTGCACAGCCATCCACCACAGGAAGAGACACCCCTGTCTCCTCCCAGCTGAACTGGAGGAAAACTTTTCATAGGGCTGATGCCAAGGAAATTGAAGCAGCACACTGGGGCCTCCAGCAGCAATGGGGAGACCTAGGGGAGGAGGTGTTGAGGATCTGTTCCTCGTATGCAACTTAAGGAATGTCTGCTAATGCTCCAAATGCCCTGCACACAGAGCAGCAGGGCAGGGGGTAAATGGAAGTAGAAAGGAGCTGGATAGACTTCCAGAAGACCTCTATGTCCCACAGGGATTCCCCGGAACCACAGAGGGAGCAAAGTTAGGGAGGCTCCTTCTGTGGATCTCTGAGATCAGACTGTCCGGGGCAGTTAGGGGGTGCAGATAGGGAGCAGAGTGCTGAGTCCAAGGCAGGGAATGGAATGGCATGGTGACAGGAGAACTGGGTATCAAGGATGGCTCATGTGAGGGGGCCATGGCTGGTGGCAGGAGCCCCTGTTCTCCTTCCCCATTGTGAGAAGGAGACGCAGGGCTGACCTGAAAATAACTAAGCCTGGAGTGACAGCTGCAGCTGTAGCTGGGGTCCGGACCTGAGGGGAAGGGATGCAGAGCTGTGGGAAGGCCCAGACAGCCCCCAGGTGTCAGGACTGGCTGTGCTGCTACCGTGGTGGGGTTCAGGTGAGCCCACACAGGCTTTTAGCCAAGGAAGGGGGACAGGGCCTCCAGGACCTGGTAAGAAGGCCTCACCTCTTCCATTTTATGCTTTCCACCTCCTTCCTCCCTGGCCTTTCCATTCTCTCTGGGGTCTGAAGAATATGGATGGGCTGGGGAGAGCGGGTCCTTGAAAGTTTGCCTCCGCCAGGCCCTACTGAGGCCTTGGGCTGGTGAGGGAGCCCAGCAGCTTGAGGAGTGGGCCAGGCCCCTTTCCACCCTCACTTCTGGCCACACACAACCCTGACAACCCACCTCTGAGCCAGTCCCATCCCATGTTCCCTGCCAGCCCTCATTAGTCTTCCCTGCCTCATTCCCTGTGCAGCCCTTACCTGACCTCTCACGTCTCACGGCACCCAGCCTGGCCCCTCACCCCCTCGTGCCCTGCCCAGCCCTCACCTGGCCCCTCAGTTCTGGCCTGTGCCCCGCAGCCGCTGGTCCAGCTGGCAGAGCTGGTGGAGGAAGCCTCGGTTGGGGAAGACCCATCGGTGTTGCCTCACGGTGATCACTGCCTGGCGCAGGGACAGCTGATGGTGCAGCATGAGATAGGCCAGGACCAGCGTGGCGGAGCGGCTCACCCCTACCACACAGTGCACCAGGACCTTGGCTGAGGAAAACATGCTGGTGAAAGACCCTTTCCCACCTGCTGGCCCGCCCAGGGGCAGGGGTAGGGACCCACGTGCCTTTCCCTGCTCTGCCTTGGGTATACTCTGTAACCCTGGGCAAACTGTTCAGCCTTTAGGGTTCTCAGTTTCCTGATCTGTCAGATGGATATACCAACACCTGTTTAGCCTACCCTCGGGATAGGGTCCAAACTCCTTAACATGGCTTACAAGACCTTCCGTGAGCTGCCCCTGCGGACTCTACAGCTTCATCTCAGGCTGCCTAACCCTGACCTTCACCCTGAGGAACTCACTTTCAGTTCCTTGAAGCTGTTCTGGGCTCTGGCCTCCAGTCTCAGCACATGCTATTCCAACTACCTGTAAAACTTCTGCTCTTCGTCTGACTAATGACTATTACTCATCTGTCCGGTTTCAGCTAAGACATGGTTTCCTTGTCTAATCTTTCCTGATCACTCATGGTATCACTTGAATCACAGAGCAGCTTATCCTTTTTGCCTGTGGCCCAGTGAATACTGCTGTAGAGGGTGGTCCTGGATCAAGCGCCCTTGCCCTGTTCCTGTTCTCCTAGAGCTCTTCACATTTACCCATTCATATGAATAGTACTCATAATTATGACTGTCTTTCCATGAGACACATGACAACAAGTGCCATAAGAGCAGGGACTCTGCCTTGTCTAAGTGTGGATTCAGTATCTAGCTCAGCGCCTGGCACAGAAAAGATAATAAACAGTGGGTAAATGAATAGATGATGAACAAATGAATGTCAAAGTGCTCTGGATATTAAAAAGTGCCGTGAGCCATAGTCTTGTCTTTCCCGTCAGGTAGACAAGAAACTGACGTCCAGAGAGGGATACTGGCTAACCCAGGGGCAGGGAGCAAGGGGCATGGCTCTCACCCAGGATTCACACAGAGTAGGAGCTCCAGCTTCCCCAGGCTCCTCTGTTCTACCCTGGGGAGTAGAAGGGGTTTTTTGTTGTTTTGTTTTGTCTTGTTTTTCTATTTGAAAATACTTTGGGGTGGAAACCAGACATCTAGGTACTAAATGGCAATTTCTCAAGGCTGAATGATGGCGAGAAAGAACTTTTGCTCTTTGGGAGACTTGGCTTCCAGTCCCGGGACTGCTCCTAACTCATGACATGACTTTGGATTCTAGGCCTCAATTTCCCTGTCTGTTGAAGGAACAAGGTTGGATAAATTGCTGGAGCACTGAGCAGAGGATTTTTACAAACCTGAAGGCTTTTTAAAAACTAAAGATGGGAGGGCACTGACATTTGAGGGGAAACTGGACATCGCCCCCCATGAGTGAGCAGGATGGGATATGGGTTCAGACCCAAGTCCTACCCCCAGGTGTGCTGAGGGCACGGTGGATGAAGTCGGCTGCTGAGGAGAAGTAGGCACTGATGTCGAAACTGGGGAGGTCGTGGGCTGGTACCCCCAGGTAGCTCACACTGCTGCCGTAGAAATCAGGGCCACCCTGACAGTAGAGTCCCCCGTGGGCTGCGTTCAGCACATGGGTAATGCCCAGCTTCCACAGCTCAAAGCGGTTATTTGCCGTGGCCCTAGGAAGGGGAAGAATAGGGCTGGATGCTGGCTGAGCCATGGGGTCCAGGAAGGAGGTTTTGCCTGGCCCCCTGCTTCAGAGGGACAGAGCCATAAAGGTCCAAAGGGAGCCACAAGGAACCCAGTAAGCTTGAGCCCCACCCTCAGAGCTTTCTGGTGGAAGAGTTGGTGGTATAGGGAGTTATCTTTAGACCCTCTTCACTTCCTGAGGCCATCTGCTCCTGCCTTGGCCAAGACAGGAAGGAAAGAATTGCTTCAGTCCTGGAATCCAGCTGCCCCTCCTTTCCTGCCCCATGCCTTCCCACCCACATCTGGCCTCTCCTGGGCACTACCTCATACCTGTTTCTAATTTGCTAATGTTTAATGGTGACACCTTCCCTGATTCACCTCTCTCACCCATTCTGTGTCCAGAGGAGGGAGGCTGGGACCAGGAAGGGGAGCTCTCTGTCCATCCCATGTCATACCTGAAAGCACCATTCCCCAGGCCTCTGTCCCCAAGACTCGCCAATTGTCCTGGATATATCAGAAGACTTCAGGATCTTCTGGGAGTTCCAATCATCCAGGCAGGCAAAAGCCCTGCTCCCCCTGGTGGTCACACCTGATCACTGCACTGTCCCCAGCTCACTGGGGTCCTGGAGCAAGTCCCTGGCCTGGGATGTGCAGAGCAGAACTATTCCTCCTTGTTCCACCCGGCTCCCACCTCTGGTAAAGAGCCCAAGAACTGTCTCTCCTTGTCCCCTTCCCCACACCCCTTCGACCAGCTACCACTCACGCATCTCCTATGTAAAGGTTGGGCCAAACTTCATCCACGTGGCTGCAAGAAATCTTCCCTGCCCTCAGGAGCTCCTCCAGTTCCAGAACACTGGGGCAAGGCGTGGCTTCGGCATCTCCCCTCAGCTCTGGGACCGAGGCTTCAGCCATGGGCCAGCCCACCCACCCCTCTGTCTCTGCAGTCACTCCTCTCTGCCTCTCCAGTGTCATTTCTCCTTCCCAGAGATTGGCAGGAACAGGTGGGACAGAGGCAAGTGACTCAGCAAGTCACAGAGGCCTCCAGAAAGAACAGGACATTTTTTCCCCAAGTCACCCCCTAACCCCAAGCTCCATGACAACACGGAATCAGTCATATCTCTGCAAGTCACTTTACATTTCTACCTCAGTTTCTTCAACTGTAAAGTAAGGATAATTACACCTACCTGAAAGAATTATAAGGATTAAATGAAACAGAGGATATTCTGTGTTTAACACATAGTAGATGCCTAAGAAACATTTGTTGAACTAATAGGCTTAGGGCCCTGGATAAGGCTATTTAGTTCTGAGGACTGAGTTAAAGTGGAGATCCAGGGTGGAGCGGGGGTGGTTGGTTTCAACAATGAATGATTAAAAAAAAAGCTCTGCAGGTCTGGGTGGGCCACATACTGGGTGGGAACCATATGGCTGCTGAGTGAGCCTGTGGATTATGTGGCTCATGGGGGAAGTTTCCTGCATTGTAGAGTCAGAGAAATATGGAGAGGAGGCATGGAGGATTTCATCTAAAGGATGCTCACGGGGTTTGTGGGGGAAGGTTTGAACAATGGTTCTATAATTAAAATAGCTGATTTCTCAAAAGAGAAGGCTGAAATGGGCCATGTATATCAAAGTGGGGAGAAGGGAAGTGAATGTTGCCCTAGACCTTCTGAAGAGCCAAAGGGACTGTCATCAGAAACATTTTTGGGGTAGAGATTCCCCTGCTTACAAGGGCTTTTGTCCCCACAACAGAAACTGAGAAAGGTCTATATCTGTCCTTCTGTCAGAGCTAGTTACCTGCAGAAGAGGTAAGATGACTTGCCCACTCTCAGGTGACTTCATGAAGGCCCTGATGAGATGGAAGGAGTATGAGCTGCAGTGGGAAGGCTCCCAGCTGCCCCTGGTCTTGAGTCCAGCTTGAGGGTAAGGGCTGCACCAGGGGATCCAGTGGGAGAAGTATGCACTCATGTCCACTCTAGAACCTGTCTCCACCCCATCAGAGCCATTGAAGTCGGCCCTGCACTTGTTGAGGAAGACGGTCAAGGAGGGGTTGGAGCCCAGGTCACAGGTCATTTGGGACTTGGCTTATGCCAATTCTAGGCCTGGGTTGGGGACTTTCCGATAATAGAGAGGAGCACAGATTCTGAAGTTAGACAGATTTAAGTAGGAATACTGGCTTTAGGACATATTAACTGCGGTACCTCAAGGAGGTTACTTGGCCCTTCTGTGTTATAACACCCTGCAGAGTTGGCACAAAGATTAAGTGAGATATTTATATAGCATTTGGAATAAGGACTGTCAGAAAGTAAGGGGGCAATAAATGGTAACAATGATCATCGGATGCTGGCTCTTACGGAGGAGCTGGCTCCCTCCAAAGGAATTAGGTAACCTCTTCTTGCTCCCATACCTCACCTACTAATCTCATAGGCCCCCGGCCATCTTCACCAGCCCCTTACTTTCTCCCACTTTGGCTCCAGGGCTGACGCATGCGCTCTCGGGTTTCCTCGCTGCGGTTTTCCTTCCCTCGCCCATCTTGAATCCCGCGACCCTTCCGGTTTGGGCCCCGCCCCCGCCCGTATGGCTCCGCCTCACGCCCATAGGGCCCCTCCTCCCGAAGCAGTTCCGGTTCGGATTCCAGGGGCTGCGGGAGCGGCAGAGACTAGCCCAAGCGATGCCTGCGCGCAGCCGCCACCGCCCCCGCCTCCACTCCGGCTCGCCTCCCCGGCCTCCGCCTCCGCAGCTCGAGGCGCTTCACTCTGGCCAGGCCCGGAGGGCCCGTGATTGCGACGGCGGTTCGGACGCCGACTCGGAGGTGGGTCGGGGAAGCCCGACTCGGACCGCGGAGGTGAGCGGGAGCAGTGCCTGAGGAGAGGGGAGTTTGGAGAGCGCCCGCAGCCGAGGATGAGTTGGGAGTCAGGGGCGGAGCCGGGCTGCCTAGGACTGGGATCCGGAGGGGCCAAAGGAGACGGTTGAGGGAGCCGGGAGAGTCTGCTCTAGAATGGAATCTGTGGGAAATGGAGGCTGTTGAGCCGAGGGCCTGAGCGGGGTGACGATGGCTGGAGGCTGAGGGGCGAGGGTAGTGGGAGACCTGAGGGAGAGGTGGCTTTGAAGAGGCAAGGGCTTGGAGGGTATTGGAAGCCGAATAGTGAGGGAAGCAGATGCAAGGGGTTCCGCGGGAATGAGGGGCCGGAGGAAGGGATGCTCTGGGATTTGGCGGTGGGGGCGAGGGATGGGAGCAGCCAGGACCACGGTCGGTATTATGGCCTGGCGAGAGAGACGGGACCGGGTTGTGACGGACGAGGTAGCTGACCGAAGGTGTGGGGCAGGGGGCAGGTTTGCTAATTAGGAGAAGGATTTAGGTTTGTTTGGAAGAGGGAGGGGCTGTCTGTTAGGAAGTCGTCTGACCTGAAGGGCCAGAAAAAGAGAAATGGGGTCAAGAAAGAAAAGGAGCCCTTGGGGATCTAATTCAAGGCTTTGGCATTTTCACAGGTGTCTTTGAAAGCGCCGAAGATCACTAGGGTAATATGCTTGGATTGTGGGGCTTTCTCGTTTGTGGACAGTGGATCCTTTTAAGAATCTGGGGCAGTGTTGAACACTGATTTGCCGCAACGGCTGGGGGAAAGTGGTAAAAAGCAAGTGATGTTTGGAAAAGATAGTGAAAGGAGTGATTCTGACAATAAAGATATCATTTGGGTTTCTTCTAACAGTAATAGTGTGGGTTTTTCTTTGTATTTTTTTTCTTAAAGTTTACTTTAGATATCAGACAAGTTTAAATCTTTAAGAAAAAAGATTTAATACGTTACCTTTAAATTTAAAAAAGCAAAACAAGAATTTGGACACTTAGGTTTTACAGATACTCCGTATTGACTGGTTACACTTTGACAACTTGAGTTGACACATATATTTACTACAAGACAAAAATATGGTCAGTGCAGGTGTCTGGTTAGAAGAGTTTATAAAAACTACAGTTGACCCTTGAACAACAGGGATTTAGAAGCATGCAGTCATAATCCCCTATAACTTTTGACTCTCCAGAAACTTAGCTAATAGCCTGTTGACCAGGAGCCTTACTGATAACATAAACAGTTAACACATTTTATAAGTTATGTGTATTATGTATTCTTATAATAAAGTAACCTAGAGCAAAGAAAATGTTAAAATCATATGGAAGAGAAAATAAATTTACAGGACTGTACTGTATTTATTTTTAAAAAATCGGCATATACGTGGACCCGTACAATTCAAACCCTATTGTTCAAGGGTCAGCTGTATATGTGAAATCACCACAGTCCAGGTATACCAGCTCTTTCTCTCACTCATAACTCCAGGATTGGGGTCTCTTGAAAATTGAAGGGGTACTTTTGACAAGTTTGCAGGACCAATATTAATGCAATTTTGCATATATTGTATGAATAATATTTTTAATAGAGTGATCTAGAAAAATAAGAATAGAGGGTGCTTGTAGTAGGCAGTAAACAGAACTGGGATAGGTGGGTACTTAGATACCTTTTACAGAAGACGTAGTACCGAAACAATAATTGTGCCAGAAAAATGATTGCAATACTTACATTAACTTTAGTAGAAATAAGTTAGTTTCCTTTTATAATTGTTAAATTGTAACATGGCTCCAGGAAGTCTTTAGCTGTGTTTCATAAGATTACTTTTACAACTTTTTATTTGGTTATACATTTTGCAAATTTGTTGGCCATTTTTAATCAAGTGTTTCTTCTCTAAACAGGTATCTACTGTTTAATCTTCATGCAGTGAGAATGTACTGATTGCAAAATCTTTTAAGTATTAGTTTATGTGTATAGACTGTGTCATATCTTCAGTGAACTAGCAATTATTTCTTCAAAGGAGAGATAAATTCTCTTTCCTTTAACTGTTGTCAAAAGATTAACTCCCTTTTCTCTAATTTAATACAAATGATCTTTAGTTGGAAGTTACATAGTATTACTGTTAGGTTTCTGCTTAACCGACACGGGACTGAGATTCTCTAAAGACCATGTCTTCATACTTAGCTCTAAATAAAAGTCTCAGCATTTAAAAGTTTATGGAATTGAACTGAAATAGAACTCTCTATTAAGGTTACATCTTAATTTTACTATGAAATTAAGTAAACCATTAAATGGAGTTGTACAATTAATATATTAGCATGCCTAATAGTTATTTTTGTTTCCCTTTGACAGTTCTCACACTTAGTTGTAAAGAAAATCAGTTTTGTGCTTGAGCAGTTTCCCTAAGACAAGAAGAAGCCATCATGACCACAATGGCAGAATGTGCAGATATACTTAGATAAATCAGTTTTGATTTCAGTAGTACTCTCCATTCTGTAAAGACTCTAATTCACATTGCACAACTACTTGTAAACATTCTTATTTTGTTAACCACTAAATCTTCACTGCTCTTTCAAAACTTTGCCATAGCTGATATAGAGACATTTTCGTGGCTTTTTTGAGAATTGAAGTTTGAACATTGTTTTTGAGAAGTTGTTGTATCACAGATGTTCTAATGAATATTATTGTTATTTTGTCTTATAAGAATGACCATATTAATTAGATATTCTTTGAAAATTCTTACCTCCAGGCCTGATGGATATGAAGTTAATAGTAGTGTGAATCTAACATGACCATTAATCATGACAGTGATTCATACTTTAGGTCTTACTGTCCTCTTAGCTTTGAGAAGTCCATAAGTTAACAAAAATTGGAGAGTGTGAACCAGGCTCTCTTGGAGATCAATTCAGTGTTTACGTGATGCTTCTGTCACTGGTTCGTAATTTGTTACATGAGTATTGGGATATGGATTTGTGACAGACTTGTGTCAATATTCCTCCCATGTATACAGCACCATCATCACTGGATCTTAAGCGTGACCCCTTCTAGCTGACTCTAGACTTCATGCCTCCATATTGAAATGTTCTGTTACTTCACTACACACTGGGTCCTCCCAGTA